CTGTCAAATGCTTATTCTTCATCTATTGAGATAATCATGATTTTTACCCTTTGTTTGGTTGATATGGTATATCATGTTCATTTGCCAATATTTAACCATCCTTGCATCCCCAAAATAAATCCCACCTGATTGTGTTGAATAATCTTTTTAAAGTATTGTTCAATGTGATTTACTAATATTTTGTTGAGTAATTTGCATCTATGTTTATCTATTAAAAAACAAACCCGTCTTTATCCCTCTCTCCCCCTCCAGGCCAACCTACCTCTTTCCCCTTCACGGTCACACTTACTGCCAAGCTCACTACAGTCATGTCTGTTTTTTGTGACTTAGATTTATTCCTCGGCCTGTTCCTCTCTCCATTTCACACTTAACGGTGCTGCTTTTTTCAAGGTAATCAATAACACCCAAACACAATGTTCGGTCCTCAACTCTCCTGGTTTTCATTGGAACAGTTCAGCCATTCCTTATCAGTTTCCTTCACTATACCTTTTCCTACAGGCAGTCACTAAACTTTAGATATCCTCAAAGCCCTAAACTAGGCCAACTTCTCACCTAACCCTGAAAAACTCCTCTATTAACTTAGTTTTAACAAGACATCTGTTAACTGATAATTGGAAATTATGCCCAGAGCTCTGTTCTGATACCTGGGTTTATATAATTCTCACAGATTGGGTTCCCAGGGTAGGAGATGTAAATTAGCAGCCAAGAGCATTTTTAGGGAAATACTCTTCGGATCCACACCTGTGGAAGGGAAAGGAAGGCAGCAGTGATGTCTGCCAACTCTGTGGGTAGATCTGAAGCGGAGATGTCCCTTTAAGAGTGTCCTGAGTTGGAATGAAGGGTCTTTTCTTAGGAATTCCTATTGATCAGTCATTGGTCAATGGCAGGCCTTTGGAAGGAGTTATCCTTGGGAGGAAGGATTTTCTTCAGCTAAAGCAACTGATTTAGGAAGCTGGTAATTGAGAGCTCCCAGTGGATAAGAGAATAAGTCTTTTGTTTCTGAATCTGGGTTATTCATCACAGCATCAACTGCAAGGATCAACTGCTTCCTTAATATTTTATCTTGGCTACCCAAAAGACACCTCAAAAATAACATTTTTGACACTAAACTTTTCACGCTAATCCCCACTTCCCCATACTGCCTCTTGCTCTGATTCCTATGACCACACTTAGATGGCTCTCATCCACTTAGTCAAGCCAGAAGCCAAGGTGTCCTCCTGAACTTTTTCTCTGCCTCACCCCCACCCACATCTAATCAGTCACCATCATGGTGACTTCACATCTTATATATCTCTTGTTCCAGTCTAGCTTGGAACAAGAGGCTTGGATCAACAGGCTGCCTCTTGTTGATTTGCAACCTTCCTGGGGGCTTCCCACATATAATCTGAGACTGGCCCCTGTACTCAGAGGGTGGGCAGAGTTTGAAAAAAGGGGCATCCCACACCAGGTTGGTAGGTGGCAGTTTTAATAAGCAAAGAAAACTTACATATGAAGTTTGCCTTGGGCGGCAGCAAGAGGACTACATCCCTGCATCTGCTCATCAGATCTTAAGGTTTATATAGAGGCCTTAACTAGGTTCAGTCGTGTGTACCATGCAGGTGTTCTCAATACCACAAGATTATCCCAAGTCTGTGTCCGAGTAGCCTCTGGGAGCAGGAAAGGCAAACGGAGGGGATTAGGAGCTGGGGCCCAGCTCACAGGTCAGCTGGTGGCTTTGTCTTTTGATGACCTTCCCCAGCAGCTTCTGGTGTAAATTACTATCATGGTTTACCTGGATGATGGCATTCTTTCCCTAAAAGTGGTTTCCCTACACCTACATTTTTCTTCCTTCAGGCCATTCTCTCCTTAGGACAGTCAGTGGTGTCTTTTAGCAATTACTGTAAACATTTCAATCAGTGACTTCCAAAATTTTTAACTTGGCCTACAAAGACCTTCATCATGGCATTCCAGTTTCTCCAGATTTACCTTGCTCCCCTCTCTCCATCACCCATTTTCTTTTTTTTTTTCTCTTTTTTTTTTTTTGCATCTTTATAAATAGTTTATTGTCAAATTAGTTTCTACATAACACTCAGTGCTCATCCCCAAAGTGCCCTCCTCCATGCCCATCCCCCCTCCCCCCACATCCATCAGTCCTCAGTTTTTGTCAGCATTCAAGAGTCTCTCATGGTTTGCCTCTCTCCCTTTCCCCCACCATTTCCGCCCTTCTTCTCCCCCTTGTTCCTCCGTCAAGTTCCTCCTAATCTTCCTATATGTGCAAACATATGGTATTTGTCCTTCTCTGCCTGACTTATTTCGCTCAGCATAACACCCTCAAGGTCCATCCATGTTGCTACACATGGCCAGATTTCATTGTTTCTCATTGCCATGAAGTATTCCATGGTATAGAAAAACCACATCTTCTTGATCCATTCATCTGTTGATGGACACTTAGGCTCTTTCCATGTTTTAGCTATTCTCCATCACCCATTTTCACTCAATCCATACTGGATATTTACTAGCTTCTTGGAAACATCATCTTCTCTGCATGTTTTCTGCATGATCCTCCTTTACTCAAAATATTTTCTTTTCTCCCTTCAAGCCTCAGCTCATGTATCACTTCCTTAAAGAAGCCTTTCTTGAGCATCCAGGACTAGGCTGCATCTCCTAGTGTTCACTGGTATGTCTTTCCTGGTACCTATCATCATGTAAGGATTTGGTTAATACCTTCCATTCCCATCACATCACGATGCTCCTTAACAGCAGAAACAATGTGTCTTATTCACTGTTTTATTTCCAGTGCCCAGCATGATGCCTAATGTATGGTATGTGCTTAATATTTGACTTTGTGTGTACCATTTCTTCTACTTGGGATGTCTTTTCTAGCCTTGAAGACCTTGGGCTTTTTCCAGGAAGCTTCCTATAAACCCAGCAAAAAGTTAATCACCACCTCCTCCATGCCACCACTTTATTTTATACTTCCAGTGTTGCACTTTTCACATATTCATTTATTTAGCATTTGGAGCCTACAAATTGGCTGCTTATGAGCCACATTGCTCACAAAATATTTTTAGATACTCCATCCACATATAAAAATCAGGAGATTTCACAATTAAAAAATCAAAAGATATGGCAGTACTGAATACATATTCCCAAGAGAGTTACCCACCTTGAGCAAATTTTCTATTTTCTCGAATATAGCAGGTGCTCAATATTGTTGATTAATGGATTGATTGATGAAATAATTGAAAACAATTAATACTTTGCTGTTTATATTTAATTTCAATCAAATTTTTATTTTATGGGATCCACTGTGGAAAACAACTATAAAACATTAAAATAATGATTATGAACTCAAGGACAGTTCTGAAATATACATGGTTAACACTAAACAAATTCATATTTATTATTTATTTATTTTTAAACATTTATTTATTTTTGAGAGACAGAATGAGACAGAGCATGAACTGGGGAGGGGCAGAGAGAGAAGGAGATGCAGAATCTGAAGCAGGATCCAGGTTCTGAGCAAGCATTCAGCACGGTCTGACGCAGGGCTCAAACCCATGAACTGTGAGAGCATGACTTGAGCCGAAGTAGAACACTTAACCAATGGAGCCACCCAGGCACTCCAACAAATTTATATTTAACCCACAGCGTTAGGTCCAGTTGTGGCTTAAATATAAGAAGAAGCTGTCTCTTAGCCCACCAGTAGAAAAATATAACTTGAGGGTTTAAAGAATGTCATCATATTGAGAAGGTCTTAACTTAGATGAACTGAATATCTTCTAGATAAGAAAATGTGCAGTTCTTGTTACAACAACCAGTCCCGAAAGGGGTAGTGTGATGCCACATCTTATGAAGGAACTGTAATAACTATTGGAAGTATAATTGTCACTTCAACCCAAAAAGTGACAATGAGGCTATTCAAAAGCTTCAGAAGAACTTGGTAATACTGACACTACCAGGCTTCATTGCTTGCAGAACTGATTTTTTATTTCATAATCTGCATGATTCTAACAATTACTTAACTTAAAAATATTAATTAAAACTGTAAAATATAAAAATGGAAAGGGTCTTGTTGGATGAGCACTGAATATTGTATATAAGTGATGAATCATGGGAATCTACCCCCAAAACCAAGGGCACACTATATACTGTATGTTAGCCAACTTGACAATAAATTATATTTAAAAAATTGGAAAGTGTAGTATTTTTTTTAATATTTTTATTTCTAGGAGAGAGAGAGAAAAAGAGACAGCGTGAGCAGGGGAGGGTCAGAGAGAGAGAGAGAGAGGGAGATACAGACTCTGAAATAGGCTCCAAGCTCCGAGCTGGCAGTCAGCACAGAGCCCGACGCGGGGCACGACCCCACGAACTGCGAGATTATGACCTAAGCGTAAGTTGGACGCTTAACCGACTAAGCCACGCTGGCGCCCCGGAAAGTGTAGTTATTTTTAAAGCCATGTTCCTTGGGCAACATTTTAAGATGTGGATAGTTCACCTCACAAATTGATTATTAACCTTGTAGCTAATATTATAGTTAATTGTTCAAGTTCTTTACATTTAGAAAGTCTTCAGGGCAGTCTCTTCTGTATTTAAGAAAGTAAATCCTCTAATATGATGTAGAGTTTCTTTTCTCTAGTGTGTTTGGTTCCTTAATATTGACATAAAGATTGAGTTAAAAGTAACAGAAAACCCTAATACTAATGAATGTGATAAGGACAAAAGTGAATTTTTTCACATATATTGAAGACAACAGTATTGCACAATGAAAGGATATTAGAAACCGGAAACATTTTTACATGTAGATCAATCTTTTTAATAGATGGAAAACATTCAATAAGGGTTAAGTTACATGGCAAATCATTCAAACCAGAAAGGAAACAACATGTTCTGACTTATTTATAAATAAAGAAATATTCAACATAGACAATTTAGATTCAAATTCTCAAGCAAGCAAAAACTTAGAGATTTGTATTTTCTTCTAACAATCATGTTTTATAGAAAATTTTATGATGTGTTGATATACTATTCTTCTCTCTGCCATACATTTTTATGTCCTTAAGGGTTCTTGATAAGACAGCATCCTTGATGAGAAAGAGAGAGAAAAGGAGATAGAGTTTTGAAATAAGTTGCATTTCTGGTCAAGTATTTATTATACTCTTAGCCCTTCAACATTTCATATATTTAGTCACTATTTTAACTAGCTATTGATGGAAGCAAGTTGCCAGACTTGGTAAATTATACCATCAATTCCCTTTCAAAACTTAGTGTCATTTGATACAATAATACCATAGTTTGTACAAATTTTTCTAAGTTATTTACCTCTTTTTCTCTTGAAAATGAGAAATCCAAGATTCACAAAACACTTAAGTACATATAAAATTTTTCTTCCCTGATTTTACCATAGTTAAATTTTTAAAAAAAGTTTTCAACCATGTGTGTCTTATAAATGTTTTTTTAGAGTGTTCAAAGTATCTAAAAAGTTGTCCTAATGCTGTTCATATAGTTCACTGTTTCCAATGACTAGGACAGTAACACATACACTTTGCCATAAGTTATTTTTATAATATTCTTTATTGAATTTAAAGTATAATTTCCATTTTATACTGTATCTTCAAAGGGTCAAAATCCTGATCCTATAAAATGGTTTACACTTACATCATTTTATTGTATCATTATATAAAATATTTTTCTAAAAGAAGAATTATTTTTCATTCATCAAGAAATAGAAAATATGGTTATTGTTTTTCTCTGTCTGACACATTTCACATACCATAATACCCTCTAGGTCCACATATGTTGTCACAGATGGCAAGATCTCGTCCTTTATTTATGGCTGGGTAATACTCTATTATATATAGAGTATATATATATATAATATTCCATATATATATTCATATATATATCATTGGACACTTGGACTGCTTTCCTATCTTAGCTATTGTAAATTATGTGCAACAAAGGGTTGCATATGTTTGTTGAATAAATGTTTTTGTTTTCTTTGGGTAAATATCCAGAAGTATAATTATTGGATCATATTGTATTATTTTTAAATTTTTTTGAGGAACCTCCACATTGTTTTCTATATTTGCTGCACCAATTTACATTCCTAGTAACAGGGTCCAAGGGTTCCTTTTTCTCCATATCCATGCAAACACTTGTTATTTTTTGTCTTTTTTTTGTTTTTTTGTTTTTGGCCATTTTGAAAAGTGGAAGGTGATATCTCATGGTTTTGATTTGCATTTTCCCTGATGCTGAGTGATGCTGAGTGTCTTTTGTCTTTTCATATGTCTGTTGGGCATCTGTATATCTTCTTTGGAAAAATGTCTTCTGTCCATTTTTTAATTGGAGTATTTGGGGGATTTTGTGTGTGTGTGTGTGTTGAGTTGTATAAATTCTTCATATATTTTGGATATTAACCTATTGTCAGATATGTTGTTTCCAATATTTTCTCCCATTCAGTGGGTTGCCTTTTTGTTTTGTTGAAGGTTTCCTTTGCTATGCAGAAGCTTTTCATTTTGATATAGTCCCAATAGTTTATTTTTGCTTTTGTTTTTCTTGCCTCAGGAAACATATCTAGAAAAATGTTGCTAAGGCCAAAGACCAGGAGATTACTGCCTATGCATTCTTTCAGGAGCTTTATGGTTTTAGGTCTCACATTTAGGTCTTTCATTAATTTTGAGTTTTGTGTGGGTGTGTTTGTATCATGTAAGAAAGCGATCCAGTTTCATTATTTTGCATGTAGCTGTCCAGTTTTCCTAGTGCCATTTACTGAAAGACTTCTTTTCCCCACTTTATACCCTCATCCCCTTTGTCATACATTGACCATATACATATGGGTTTATTTCTGGGCTCTCTATCCTGTTCCATTTATGTATGTCTATTTTTGTGCCAGTACAGTACTATTTTGATTACTAGCTTTGTAGTACATTTTGGAATCTAGAATTGTGATACCTCCATTTTTACTCTTCCTTCTCAAGATTGGTTTGGGGTCTTTATTCAAGTCAGACAGAGAAAGATAAATACCTTATGATTTCACTTATATGTGGAATCTAAAAAAACAAAACAAACAAAAAAGCAGAAACATCTATAAATACAGAGAACAGACTGATGGTCACTAGAGAGGAGGGGGTGGAGGGATGGACAAAATGGGAGAAGAGGAGTGAGCAAGAGATACAGGCTTCCAGTTTAAGTAAGTTATGGTAATAAAAGGTACTGATTATATAGTCAGTGATATAATAGCATTGCATGGTGACAGATTAGCTATACTTGTGGTGAGCATAGCATAACAATAGAGTTGTTGAATCACTAGCTTGTATACCTGAAACACAGAATTTTACAACTATATGTATGTCAACTATACTCAAATAAAAACCAAAAAAGAATGAGGAAAACCCCCCAAAAGTATAAATATATATTTTTAAATTGTCCTATGAGGAAACACTTTTGTATTTCCAAGCTCTTACAAAGAAATGTATTCCTGAAAATAATAGAATTTTAATCATTGTTATTAATATCCTCTTCTATCAGTAGAAAGATTTGTACAATTTTATGTCCCTTTCTCTTTTTTAAGTTTTTTATTTTGAGAGAGAGAGTGGGCATTTGAAAGGGGGAGGGACAGAGAAAGAGAGAGAGAGAGAGAGAAAGAGAAAGAGAGAGAGAAAGAGAGAGAGAGAATCTTAAGCAGGCTCCATGCTGTCAGTGCAGAGCCCAAGAGAGAGAGAGAGAAAGAGAGAGAGAGAATCTTAAGCAGGCTCCATGCTGTCAGTGCAGAGCCCAATGTGGGGCTCAGTGTAATGACTCTGAAATAATGACTTGAGCCAAAATCAAAAGTTGGACACTTAACCAACTAAATCACCCAGGCAACCCTTATTTCCCCCATCTTTATCACTTATACTTGCATTTATACTGGGAAGTAGGAGAAAATGTGAAATTCTATCTCAACATATAGGCTAATTTTTCCACATTTAAATATTGCTCATATAAATTGATTTGCCAAATTGCCAAGTGTCACAAATATGCAATAGCCAAAAACACTATATCTTCAGACAACTCAGAAAGTTTGTTGAATTAATTAATATTTCTAGAAGTTTGCCTGGCTTAAAAAAATAATTATTTTTCCATTATAATGACCATAAAGTAGAAGTGTCGTAGAACCTAGTATTTCTGAAAAGAATCTCTTGAATAACAATATGAAGAAAATAATTAGTTGTAGGCACAAGCTTCTTCTTACCTTCCTCTTTGAACACATCTTGGATATTTTAACTGCCCTCTGACACATTGCACTCTGAGTTCAGATCCTATAATAGAGGACTCATCGACATATGTATCTCTCCTACAAAGAAATTCAATATACTCGCCATGGAAAATATATGGTCTGTTGTCAAAATTCCATTTCAGGAATAAATTATTATTTTCCATTTCAACAAAAGATAATGTGCAGGGCTCTGAAAAATAAAAAGAAGAAAATTATCTTGACACATCTTGGCACTAACAGGAAGCACTGTGCTTCTACTCACAATAACCTTAAAATTTCCAGGCATTTGAGTGGCAACTAAGTGACTCAGAATTAATATTTGAGGCAGAAAATATGTTCAAAGCTCACAGAAAACAGTCTGCCATTTATCTCTGTGGTCCTGGATTTGGAAAAAAGTGTATATCCTGCCAGTCACTTAGCTTTATGCCATTAAGATTTTCAAAGATAGCAAACAGAAAAGGTATTTTTTATTAGAGAGCATCAATAGTTACTAATAATTACTGAAGTAATGTTATTTTTCTTATTTTTTTCCTCAGAAAGTTCAAATAAAATCCCCATGAGACACAGTATTTGTTTGATTGTTGTATAGATATTACTGAAATGTAGAAAGAAGGTGGATTCTCAGCAATGACTCAAACTCTAGGACTTGATGGCCTCCAGAGCGGTTGACAGTATTCTTTTTTAAATTTCCAGTTATTAAAGAATACCAGTGTTGGATTAAGATGCTTTACATTCTAGACATTGAAAATATTATTGGGTCCTTCCACTAATGCATTCAGATAAAACAAAACAAAAACTTAAAAAACTATTAGGGTACCTGACAAATTTCTTTGATTTTTTCCATACTAAAAATATTAATATTTTCAAAATGTCAAGTTATTTCAGAAAATGAAGTAGTTTGTGTCCTTATTTGCCTCTTGGATGACCTAGCACTAAACAGTAGATTCTGAGAGTTGTTAATAGAGCACATGAATCATATAACTATAATACATTAACAAACTTTATTCAATATTGTCAGTTTTTCTTGAATCCTATGTGTTTGCTATTATTCTAGAAGTTCTATAGACAGAATAAAAATGAATAAAAATAATCAGAAAGACTCTAAGAGAGTCTTTGTAGTCACTGCAAAATAGCTTTGAAAATGAGGTCAAGTGGCACTATATTTTAAATGTTGTTCTACAAAACATGAAATTTTAATTAAAACAAGTTGAAGATTAATTCATGGACCTGCTATTCTCAGCTATGACAGAATCGCCTATATCAAACCATCACTTCTACTAAAAACTGGAAAATCTGAAAACAGACACAAAGCAAGTAGATAATTTCCAAGGCAGTCAGTACTCATGATGCTAAGATCCTGGTAAAAACTCATACAGATGAATCCAACATTCTAGTGGCATTTTCTTCTTGGAGCATTTATTGATTCTCAGCATTTGCTGAGAGACTGTATAGAGAATGATCAACAACAAACATAGGCTAGCAGATGTTTTTGGAATCTAATGTTGTTGAGGATAGAAAAATCTAAGTTTAGGTCAGCCATGATAGCCAGGACTTAAAGGGCCAAGAACCCAAAGGAATGGGAAGTGCAGAGAATGAATGTGATACTTGGCACTGGCTTTTCCCTTCAAGCCTATTCTTGACTTGTGCAAAGAGAGAGCATAAAGGGCCAAGCAGAAAGTGAATGAAAAGCTATATTAAACTTTTGGTGGATTTCCAGTAACATGAGAGCCTGTGAAGAAGGAGGAACCTTGGTCTGAACACCAAAACTCTTTAAAAATAAATTTTCTTTTACATTTATTTATTTTTGAGAGACAGAGAGAGACAGAGCACAAACGGGGGAGGGGCAGAGAGAGAATGAGACACAGAATCCAAAGTAGGCTCCAGGCTCCGAGCTGTCAGTACAGAGTCCGCTTGAACTCACAATCTGTGAGATCATGACTGGAGCTGAAGTCAGATGCTTAACAGGCTGAGCCAACCAGGTGCCCCTGAACCCAAAATTCTTAGTGAAAAACCCTGCAGGGTTACATCCTATGAATAGAGAGACAAACAGAGGTCTGAAAATAAGCTTGGCAAAAACTTCATTTCTAATTAGATTGAGGCCTATTTCCTCTACACTATTATCCAGAAGCTGAGATGAGTATTCTCTGGAACAAGATGACATTGTTGTTTCAAGCTTCTAAAATTTTCCATACATAATATTTGATATTCAATCAACCATTAATAGAAATAGCAAGAAATTGGCCTAGAAATAGAAATAGGCCTACAAATGATCCAGATAATAGAGATTTCAGACAAGAACTTGAAATAGGTTGGATCAATGTGGTGAAGAAATGGATGTTACAGTAAAGTCTTTCATCAGAGAACTCAAATCTGTGTACACACACAAGCATAAAGTGGACATTCTAGAAATGCAAAGATATTGAGAGCTCAGCAGGTGATTTTAAAGTAGACTGGACACAACTAAAGAAAGGATTAATGAATTGGAAGAAATATCAGTAGGAAATAACCAAATAGGAACAAAAAGAAGATAAAAGATACCTCCAAAACCTATGAAAAATATCAAGCCACAGGTTCAAGAAGTACTACCAACTTGAAGAAGGAATGCTCCAAGACACCCACATCAGGCCGAGCATAAATAACCTACTGAAGATAAAGGGGAAAAGAATCTCAGAACCAGCAGAATACAAAAAGAAACTTAGTTTCAAAGAAATACAATTAAGAATGACACTAACTAACAAAATCCCACAAAAAGCAAAAAAGGATAAAATGACGTCTTTTACAGGACTAAAAGAAAAACGAGGACCAAACCAGACTTCTGTCTTTGGCAAAAATAACTCTTCAAAAGTGAAGGAAAATAAATTTGCAGACAAACAAAAAACTGAGAAAACAATAAAAAAATAATATTTTTCAGGTGTATGGAAAATGATCCCAATCAGAAACAGAGAAAAGCAGGAGAAGATGAGAAACAAATCACTCCAAAACACAAGCAAATCTTAAAGACTATTTCTGAACAACATAATGTTCACAGTATCATTGAAACTTAAACTATAGGGAGAATGAAATGGATGACACAGTAGTACAAAAAGTGGGAATAGTAAATCAAGTTAAAGTGTTCTGGGTCCTAGAAAAGTGGCAAAAGTACTAATTTATATGCCATTGTAATATTTCCAGGTTGAATGATGTAATCTCTATGATAACAGTTAAAGGAAGCCAAAGGGAAATTATAAATGACAAGCTAGTAGAGAGTAAAGGGGTATAAAAAGAGTTGATTTACCCAAAAGAAACAACCAAAACAAAAAGAAATGAAAAAAGAGAGAGTAAAGAATACAGAACAGATAGGATATATTTCTAGTACAATAAGATGACAGCTATAAACCCAACTATATCAGTTCTTATATTAATATGTAAATAGACTAAATACTATAGAGAGAAAGATTGTCAGACTGAAAAAGTATGCTTTAAAATTAACTGTATATTCCTTATAAGACATACATGGTAAAAGTAAGAAACCAAAAATATTGAACGTTGAAGGAGGAAAACAATGTATGCTTTATAAATCCTTGTCCAAAGTCAGCTGGTACAGCTAACGTAGACTTCAGGCAAAACGAGCAAAAGCAAAATGTGGCAAAGTTAAAGGAAGACTCTTAAAATTCAGCAGGGCCAACACACCAAGATTTAATAAGCTTCAATTTACCTAGAAGAATAGCAGGAAAGCACAAAGCCAAAAATTGACAGAACTGAAATGAGAAACATTTTTAAATGCACAGAGGGAGAGACTTTAACGCACTTCTTTTGATAACTGACAGAAAAACAAACACAAAACTGCACAGATATGAATGAACTTAACATGAAAAACAGAATTCAACTGACATGTGCAGCAACAGTGAATCCAACAATGATGATTATTTATTCATTTGTTTCAAAAGAACATGTACTAAAAAAGTCAGGCAAAGAAGGACAAATACCATATGTTTGCACGTATAGGAGGATTAGGAGGAACTTAACTGAGGACCATGGGGGAGAAGAAGAGGGGAAATGGTGGGGGAAAGGGAGAGAGGCAAACCATGAGAGACTCTTGAATGCTGACAAAAACTGAGGACTGATGGATGTTGGGGGGAGGGGGGATGGGCATGGAGGAGGGCACTTGTGGGGATGAGCACTGGGTGTTATATGGAAACCAAATTTACAATAAAGTATTTGTAAAAAAAAAAAAAAGAAACTACAAATTAAAAAATAAAACATGTACCTACAACAAATATAGTAATAAAGTAAGTATTAATGAAGCTCAAAGGATTGATATAATTCAAAGTACTTCTCACTGGTGTTCTATGTAGGTGAGGCATCACTAAATTCTACTTCTGAAACTAATATTACTCCATATGTTAACTAACTAAAATTTAAATAAACACTTGAAATATTAAAAAAAACTAACAAAAATCCCAGATCTTTTTTAAAAATGTGTCTCAATGGATTTAAATTAGAAATCAGTAACAAAAGAAAAGCTTCCAATGTTCAAAACCTAAAAAACCTAACTCAGAGTGCATACAAGATATCAAAATGGATAAGGATCAAAATAGATCAAAATTAAAAATACACACATATTTTCTTTTTTGAGAGAGAGAGAGGGAGAGCGCTAGCTGGGGAGGAGCAGAGACATAGAGAGAGGGGAGAGAATCCCAAACAGGTTCTGTATTCCCTGCGCAGATCTTGAGCAAGTCTCAGTCTCATGACTATGAGATCATGACCTGAGCCACCCAGGAGCCCCATGATATCATATTTTTTAACTGAATGATGGAATGATAATACAATTCCAAAATAAAAAATGTGAGGGATAAAGTTAAAGTCATGGTCAGGGGAAAAACTTATATCCTTAAATTCATATGTTAGGAAGAAAACAAAGGCTGAAAATCAGTAATTTAATATCTGTCTAAAAAACTAAAAGAAGATCTATAGGAGCACTTGGGTGGCTCAGTCCATTAACTCTTTGGCTTAGGCCATGATTTAACGGTTCGTGGGTTCAAGCCCCACATAGGGCTCTGTGCTGAGAGCTCAGAGCCTGGAGCCTGCTTCACATTCTCTCTCCCTCTCTCTGCTCCTCCCCTGCTTGTGCTCTGTCTCTCAAAAATAAATAAATGCTAAAAATATAAAAAATAAAATAGGATCTATAAAGTAAACTCAAGAAATTAGAAGAGAGGAAATAAGGATAAGAATATAAATTAATAAAATAGTAAGCAACCTTTGATGAAAACAGTAAGCAAATATTAGTTGTTTGAAAGGCCTAGTAAAAGTTGTAGACCCTTAACAAGACATGCCAAGAAAGAAAGAGATACATCTTAATAGCAGTAAAAACAAAAGACACACCACTAACGGCATTAAAAAGAATGTAAAAGGTTGTTGTGAACAACATTATGTCAACAAATTTGACAATTTAGATATCACAGACCAATTCCTAGACCCACCCTACCAAAACTGACAGCTATCAGAATCTGTCCTCAAAGAAAAGTTGATGCCCAAATGGTATGTTTGATGGACTCTTACAATTACTAAGGAAGAAACAGTATCAATCTTACACTAATTACAGAGAATTGAAAAAGAAGGAACTTACCAATTCACCATATGAAATAAGTAGAAACTTCATTCCAAACCCAAAATGAAAATAACAGACTGATCTCTCTCATGAAAATAAATGCCAAACTTCTAAGTGAAATATAAGCAAATAAAACCCAGCAACATGGAAAAAGCATAATTTATCACAAGCAAGTGTGATTTATTATAGGAATATAATCACGCTTTTAACAATCAAAAAGAAGCAATTGTAATTCTAGAGGGTAAAGTAATAATATGGTTATTTCAATAGATGTTGTTAAATACTCAATGAAGATTAAAAAGCTTAGAAAAATAGAAATAGAGCTTTTTATATTTTAATTTGATTTTTAATATCTTTATATACTGTAAATAAATATGAATTATTGAAAGTTTTACTTATGAGTTTGAGAAACAAAATATCCAATACCTCTTCTACTCAGCATTGTACTCAAGTCCAAGCTGGTGAAATAAGATAGCAAATAAGTCAAATACAGACACACAAAAAATCTTTTCTTTTTACTTAAAGATATGCTTTTTTTGACTTCTGAGAATCTTGGTAGGTGTTGTTACCCTACCCAGATACTTCACTAATAAGGCATTAACTTGCTTCAATTTTCTATATTTGTTTCCCCTTTGTACTCATGTTTCCTATTCTAGTACCAGTCACACTGAATGATAATTGTTAACACATTTACCAATACCTCTATGACTTATTCACTTATAGCCGCATATAACACCAGTACCTGGTGTATGTTTGTATTTATTAATATTTTTTAGAACAAGCTGGACTATCGTTATTTATGATCTACAGGAAAGAAGAGAAACTAGTAATTGAATAGACACACTAAAACACAAATATAACAAATTAAGCATTATAATAGTGTTATATCAACTAAAAGAGAACAGAAGGTGAAAAAATAATGTTTTTTTTTTAAAATTTTTAAAGGTTTTTAAATTTATTTCTAGGAGAGAGAGAGAGACAGCGTGAGCAGGGGAGGGTCAGAGAGAGAGAGGGAGTCACAGACTCACAGACTGAAACAGGCTCCAGGCTCTGAGCTGGCAGTCAGCACAGAGCCGGACGCGGGGCCCCAACCCACGAACCGCGAGATCATGACCTAAGCGAAAGTCGGACGGACGCTTAACCGACTAAGCCACCCAGGTGCCCCGGTTTTGTTTTGTTAAATAGAGGGATATTTAGTAGTACTTGCCTAAACATGATGGTGGTGTAGTCCATACTCCATCTGAACAATAGGACTCCTTAGATCCTTGAAGGAAATGATGATCAAAACATCTGTATTCTACTGAGGAACCGTTTTCATAGATGCCTAATATTGAACTAATCATAACTCCATTTTTAACAAGTGGAGGAGATGCACACATTCCTTTAGATTCTGCAAAAATAATTTTGGAAGTATATAATGAATTTCCATAATAAGCATCCAATACTTTAATAATTGCTATAGAAATAAAATAGCACAGTTAATGTAAAAGCATTTTTAAGATAACTGTCAAATTTTAAACATTGAGAGCATTTCTATAGTAACTTCATACTATAAAATTGATTATTGCAAGAATTGGAATCTCATTATAAAATTAAAATACACTTTTAAAATTGGCAAAGAATTAACAATCATGATTTTAATTTTCCCTTTTTATCTAGCCAAAGTGAAAATGTATGAAACCCCTTTGAAGCCAGGCTTTCTGTATGTATCCTCTTACATTTTTTTCTTCTTATTAAAAGTAATAATTCCATGTCCAAGGAGCACACAGAATCTCTCAATCTGCCTCAAGACGTTTTCTGAGACAACACAAACTCAGCAAACCCCAAGAAGGGCAATGTTTTCCAGAGCTGTTGATTGCTCACATTAGGGTGATCAGTCCCCTGATAGTCTGGGGATACTTATAAGATCTATTAATTTCTCCCTTTATAAAATTGACTTATTGGAATTAAAAGATATCAGCATAGTCATCCTATTTAAGTATTTGTGCTTACTGGAAATTAATCAGATCATTCCCAATGTTATGGATTAGAAGATGATGATGGTGAGTTGTGTAGGGTCTTTCTTATACTTTGAACCCAAGTAAGTAACATTAATCACCTGAGAAATTATCAGAAAACACTATTGTTTTACCTTTTATAATACATAAAGGATATCTCACTTCTCCTCTATTGCACTGTACAGATAATTCAGACAATGGGGTTGATGGAGATAAGTCATATCCTTGTTTACATACAAAATCTATTAAATCTCCATGTAAGACCTTTCCTTCATACTTCCACTTCATCTCTATGTTATTTATTTTCATGTAATCCACATTAATAGTACATGGCTCTGTAAGAAAAAATGTTGTTTTAAATTATTTACTTATTAGGCAAATATGAAGTTGAGTATATTTTTAACATAAAAACTTTGACAGGTATCAGAAGAAATGTTTTATATTCAACATTTACATTATTAAAACTTCTCAAACATATACATAATAAAGTATACATTTTAATGCTATCAATTTGAACATTAAAAATATTGTTTAAGCTATAAAAGATGCACTTCAGACCTAAAGGTACATACAAACTAAAAGTGAAATGATACAGAAAGAGATACTATACCAAGTTAAAATGTAACTATTTGCAGATGACATAATACAATACACAAAAAACCCTAAAGACTCCACCAAAAAACTATTAAAACAATGAATTCAGTAAAATTACAGAATACAAAATTAACACATAGAAATCAATTGTATTTGTGCACAATAATAACAAAGCAGCAAAAAGAGCAATTAAAAAAACAATTTTAATTTTAGCTATAAATATGTCCAAAAGAATAAAATACCTAGGAATATACTTAACCAAGGAGATGAAGACCTTTACTCTGAAAACTGTAAAACATTGATGAAAGAAATTGAAGTTGATACAAAGAAATGAAAGACATTCCATGCTCATTGATTGGAAGAATTAATATTGTTAAAATGTCAATACCAACCAAAGCAATTTACAGATTCAAAGGAATTACTATAAAATTACCAATAGCATTTTCCAGAGAACCAGAACTAATAATCCTTAAATTTGTAAGAACCATGAAAGCAAAAGCAATCTTGAGAAAGAAGAACCAAACTGGTGGTATCACAATCCCAGATATCAAGCTATACTACAAAGCAGAAGTAATCAAAAACAGTTTGACACTGGCACAAAAATAGACAGATAGATCTATGGAACAGAATAGAGAGCACAGAAATAAACCCATGCTCATATGGTCAATTAATCTATGACAAAGGAGGCAAGAATATTACAATGGGAAAAAGCCTCTTCAATAAATGGTGCTGGGAAAACTGGACAGCTACATGCAAAAGAATGAAACTGGACCACTTTCTAACACCACACACACAAATTAACTCAAAATGGAGAAAGATCAAAATGTGAGACCTGAAACCATAAAGCTCCTAGAAGAAAACATAGGCAGTAATCTTCTTGAACTTGGCCTTAGTAAACGTTTTCTAACTATGTCTCCTGAGACAAGGGATACAAAAGCGAAAATAAGCTATAAAGACTACATCAAAATAAAAATCTTTTTTGCAGCAAAGGAAACCATCAACTAAAAGGCAACTCAGTGGATTGGGGAAGATATTTGCAAAGGATATATCTGATAATGGGTGAATATCCAGAATATATAAATAAGTTATACAACTCAACACACAAAAAACAAATAATCCAATTAAAGAATGGGTAGAGGACCTGAATAGATATTTTTCCAAAGAAGACATACAAATGGCCCACAGACACATGAAAGATGCTCAACATCACTCATCATCAGGGAAATGCAAATCAAAACCACAATTAGATATCACCTCACACTTGTCAGAATGGCTAGAATCAAAAAGAGAAGAAACAAATATTGGTGAGGTTGTAGAAGGGAAAAAAGACCCCTCATTTCCTCTCGATCGAATGTACATTTGTATAGCCACTATGGTGAACATTATGGAGGTTCCTCAAAAAATTAAAAATAAAAAATACTATGTGATCCCATAATTCTACTTTTGGCTATTAACCCAAAGAAAATGAAAACACAAACTCAAAAAGATACATGCACCCCTATGTTTATTGCTGCATTATTTACAATAGCTAAGCTATGGAAGCAACACAAGTGTCCACATAATGGAATATTACTCAGCCATAAAAAGGATGAAATCATACCATTTGCAACAACACGCATGGACCTACAGGGTATTATGCTAAGTGAAATAAGTCAGTGAAAGACAAATACCATATGATTTGTGTATATATGGAATCTAAAACATAAAACAAATGCATAAACAAACAAAAAGCAGAAACAGAGTCTATATACAGAAAACAAATTGATGGTTGCCAGAGAGCAGTGGGGTATGAAGATGGACAAAATGTGTGACCCTTTACACGCTGTGGGAGATCCTGACTTCCATTATGGAATGAATAAATCATGTAGATAAAAACTACCGCTGGGGGAATATGGTCAATGGCACAGTAATAGTGTTGTAAGGTGACTGATAGTGGCTACATTGGTGGTGAGTGTAACATAACTTATAGACTCGTGGAATCACTATTTTATAGCCCCAAGATAATGTAATATTGTGTGCCAACTATACCTGAGTAAAAAGATATATATATATGTGTGTGTGTGTGTGTGTGTGTGTGTGTGTGTGTGTTTGTGTGTGTATGTGTGTGTGTTTTATAATTTGTGGCCATCTTAAAACCACATATAATAAATTAGATGGAAATTAGATGGAAAATAAGTAGCAGAGGTAGGGGAGGGGCTATCAGAGGGATAGGGTTAGGAAAATAACACTTTTAAGTCAAATCGTTGCGATAGGCCTAAGGAAGAAGTAGTATCTGCACAGACTTGAAGAAGGTCAGTGAGTGAACCATGGCATTTTCTGAGGGAAGGGTGCTCCAGGAAGAGGAAAGAGGCCTGAGGTAAGAGCATACTTGGCTTGTGTGAGGAAGAGCAAGGAGACCAGGGCCGCTGGGGTAGAATGAGACCGGGAAGATCAGCGGGTCAGAGAGGTTCATAATGACTGGAAAAATAATTCACAGGTGGAAGATTCTGCTCCTTATCACACCATTTTCCCCACTTGAGGTGAGAGTACTTGTAGTTTCTAAGGATAAATACGACATACAGACATACTGTCCTCTTGACCTGATGACAATAAATGCTCTTCATTCAGTATCTGCTTTGATTTATGAGCACCAAGGTTATGTGTCTTGATGATCAATCACATCATCAAAACCTTAATATCAAAACTTTGATGAAAATAAGAGAGCAATAGAAAAGCTATAGGTAGGGGTGCCTGAATGGCTCAGTCAGTTAATTGTCCGGTTTTGGCTCAGGTCATAATCTTGCAGCTCATGAGCTCGAGCCCTGCATTAGACTCTGTGCTGACAGCTTGGAGCCCAGAGCCTGCTTTGGATTCTGTCTCCCTCTCCATCTGCCCCCGTCCCCGCACAACTCACGCTGTTTCTCTCTCTCTCAAAAATAAATAAAAACTATTTAAAAAATTAAAAAATTATAAAAAGGAAAAGCTATACGTAGACATAACTGAATTTGAATGAGAAGAGCTGCTTAAGAATTATTTGGAAAGAGAAATCACAAAGGAGATGTGGAAAGAACTTAAGATTTAAAATTAAATAAGTATACATACATATAATAAAGTCATATAAATAAAAGGAAAAGGAAAATAAAAATGGCTGTAATGTACATTGTTATATCTTGCATCATTGTCAAATGAATAATATAATTTATACAAATAAAACTTTTATTACAAGCATGAAAAAATCAAAGTCATTGAAAAAAAAAACCTATGGCCAGCCAGAAAATTCAAAATGCTCAATTGAGTAATACCTAAATAAACCAAATTAAAATAATTTTAATTGTTGGATTAACAATATGTGAAGATTAAAGTAATCAAGTTGACAAACATTAAGAAAGTTACTACTTTAATTCACTGATGGTAGGGTCATAAATCAGATTAACTCTCTGAAGGACAATTTGACAATTAACAGAAAAAGAATTAAAATGGCAAATTTCTTTGATCCAAAAATTTCCTTCAGAAAATCCAAAAAAGGCAAAAACAAAATAAGACATGCGAAATAAATATACTTAATTCCAAAACTTAAAAATAAAGTATTTTTTAAGTGTGCAAACATTTAATACAAAAAATGTACTGTTTAGAACATAAAAAATGTTGAAAACACACTAAACTTACATCAAAAGTATTAATTTAATTATGGCATATCTGCATTATGGAATACTATGCATACATTTAAAAGTATATTGTAGAAATATATCAAACCACATTCATAATAGAGTTTGTGGGGAAAGAAACAAGTTACATAGCCTCTAATGATAGCATACATTAAAAATTTTTTTAAATGTTTATTTTTGAGAGAGAGAGAGAGACAAAGAGAGAAAGAGGGAGAAACAAAGTGCAAGTGGGGAAGGAGCAAGGAGAGAGGGAGACAAAGAATTTGAAGCAGGTTCCAGGCTCTGAACTGTCAGCACAGAGACTGATGCGGGGCTCAAACCCACAAACCACAAGATCATGACCTGAGCTAACGTCAGACAATCAACTGATTGAGCCAGCCAGGCGCCCCTATTTCTTATAAATAGGTGGTGTGTGTGTGTGTGTGTGTGTGTGTGTGTGCGTGCGTGTGTGTGTATGAAAAGGTTTAGAAAACCATTATCTAAGTAATTAACAGCTTTTGTTTCCTAAGTTACTGATATTTTCTGTTTTCTTCTAGTTGCTTTCATATATTTTTTAAGTAAATAACAATGATTTACATTTATAATTTGAAAGGCTAATATTTTAATTAAATTAGTATTTTATTTTAACTTATAGAAAGGTTATGATACCATTATCTATTTGTAGAAGTCACAATGTAACAAGTTCATTGCAACTACAGGGACCAATTACCCTCCTTTTAGTGTAATTGTGACGAGCAAGGTCAAAAATGAGGCAAGTACGTAGGCTTGAAATGAAAAGTGAATATTATTTTCAGAAAGTTATCTCAATTTAGATAATTATCTAGATAGCTGCCTTCCTTCATTCTCCACTTGACACATTAATGTTAAAGATACCATGTCTTAATCTAAAATATATTTAAAGTAATTACAAACATGTCTTTATTTGCTCAGCAAAATAAAACAAAGGTGATCATTCAAGTGAGGAATTGATAGCCAAAGAAGCTATTGACAATATGCTCTACCAAGGAAGGAATTGGATTTATTATTCTCTCCAAATGATATTCTGGGACAATATAGTGAGAGATGCTGATGCTGTTAGTAAGAGGAAATTTCAGTTCAGAGAAAGATACCACAAAACGTATCACAAAAATGTGAATATACTTAATGCCACTGAAATACACACTTAAAAATGGCCAAAACGGTAAAGTTTTATTGTTCATGTTTTACCACAGTTTTTAAAAAGTAATAGGTAAGAACTAACGGAGTTATAGAGCCTGTGATATTAGATTTTCTGCTTACAGAAGAGAGAAGGGAAAGAAAACACTTGGAAAAAAATTTATACAAAAATGATCCTTTCCATGCCATAAAATATTATGTAAAAATCACATAAAAATAGAAACATAATCATAAAAGTTATTCAATGTGTTCTGTGATAAATGGAGTCTGTTCCAGGGATCTAATGTACACAATGGTGACTATAGTCAATAGTATTGTTTTGATACTAGAATGTTGCCAAGAGAGTAGATCTTCATAACGACAAGAACAACAAAAAATGGTGATTATACGAAGTGACCAACCTTATTGTGGTGAACATTTCAAGATACATACGTGTATCAGCTTACTGCATTGTACACTGTAAATTTACACAATGCCATATGTCAGTTGTATCTCAATAAAGCTGGGAAAAATTTTTTTAAAAAGACAATGTGTTCTCTATCTTACCTAAGCAAACAGGTGGAGATGACCATCTTCCTTGTTCACAATGAGATATTTTTGCTCCACTCAATAAGTAATATTCATTACATCTATATTCCACTGAGGATCCTGTAGTGTAGCTTGCTAATAATCCATCAATAACAGCCCCATTTAATACAGCAGGTGGAGGCTTACAATTCTCATTATTTTCTGAGAAAAGTGGTTATTTTAAAATGAATATAATTTTATATCATATTAAATATATAATATAATTATATAACATAACAACATAATGATATCATACAGTTACCCATAATCTAGTACTTCAATATTTGTCTTATATAACAATAACCCAAATATTATTGTCAATTCTAAAACTATCCTTTGACATTATCTGCTTTTAGTTTTTTATTCTCATTCTCTTCATCTCAGGTCTCAGTCAGTTATGGATGAAATTTTCTACTTTTGTTCTCTTTAGTTTTTCTCTCATTCTGCTAATTTCTTTAGCATCTTGAATAGCTTTTCTCTTAGCAATAAATAGCTAAAGTAAACATGTTTGTGGAGATCTTTCTAGGAAAGTACGAGAAATGAGAAGGACAGGAAGGGTAGCACCCACGAGCATCAATGTAGCCTGCTTGTGCATATCAGTAAAACAAAAGACCAGAGACATGTCTCAGAAGGGTGTAGGGCTCAGACTAGCCAGATGCAGAAGTAATATTAGAAGGACTGACCCAAAGTCAGTTAGTGTTCTAATGTAACTTTGCAGGACATAAAGGGAGAGGAAGTAGATCATGATCATGGCCAGTCACCCAATCCAACATGCCCTTATTTACTTCTCTAATGACACACACTGTAACTTATGTGCTTTCATATAAAGCTCAGAAATCATGGTATAAAATAGGTCAGATAACAGTGCTTAGCACTAATGGACATTCAAAAGTCTTTTTTAGTTTTCCAGTTCTTTATATTGGGTTAAATTTTAGGGATGGCTGCATATGCACAAAAACAGTAGTAGAGTAGGTGCAGCAGTAAGCAGTAGTCTCTTGCTATACGTGTGTGGGTTACATGAGGATGAAAAATTTTACAGACTAGGCTTAGCTACTGATGGCAAATGTAGCATACATACCAACACACTCAGGAGGACGTGTCCACTTTCCATGTTTACAAGTTATTTCTCTTGATCCAAGGAGATGATACCCACTTTTACATTCATATGCCACTGTATCCCCATTGAAATAAGTCTTAGAGTTTACGTTCGCTGTTCCATTCTCAATGACAGGGGGATCCTCACAGGTTATCTTCTCCTTTTGTTCTGAAAAGAAACAAATGAAAGAGACGTTTAGCTACACATGCAAACTTCATTTTAGGGAAACCTTATTTAAGGTGTTGCTAACCAATGCATTTTGGAGGTTCTGTCCATTTTCCATTTTCACAACGTATTTCTTCTGGTCCCTGTATCTTAAAATTAAGTTCACATTCTACACGAACCACCTCTCCATGACGATAAGTTGTTGAATGTGTTTGAATTTTGGAGTTTAGAGGCAGAGGGGGTGGAGGACATCGGTTTCTTCTTCCTTATTAAAAAAAATCACCATATTTAGTCATATAATTATGAAAATAATAGGTAGATTTCATAAGCACATTCATTGAGTCAAGTACCGTAGGAAGTATACAGACCCTAGGTCACCTCCTTGATCTCCATTTTTGATGTGTGTGTTGCTCACTTCATTGTGTGATACCCTCCCCATGAGCCGAAACTGGGACTTCCTTCTAACCAATAGAACGTGGCAAAGATGAGGGGAGGTATGTGATTATGGATGCATGATATGCAACATAATGCTGCAAGGCCATTCTTGCTGAGAGGCCCTCTCCCTGCTGATTTTGATAAAAAGCACCCTCCCACGTTGTGGGCTTCCAAATGGGGAGGCAACAAGGCAAGGAGCAGAAGGCTGCCTCCAGCCGGCAGCCAAGAAGAAATAGAGGCTCCTAGTTCAGCAGTATGAAAAGCACTCAATGCCATCAACAACCATATTGAGTTTGAAGGGAGATTCTTCCCCAGTCAAGCTTCAGATGAGACTGAAGCCCCAGCTGACACTTTACTTGCAGTTTTGTTAGACAGGGATGCAGAGGAGTCAGATAAGCTATGCCCAGACTCCTGACCTACAGAAATTGTGAAATAATACAAGTGTATTGTTTTAAGCTGCTACATTTGTAATAGTGGTGTTATGCACCAATAGAAAACTATAAAAACAAGTAAATTAAAATGGCATTATCTCCTTTATTCCTAAAATAACTTTATTAAGCAGGGAAAATTATTTTTCTCATATTATAGATAAAAAACTAAAACTTCTGAAGTAAGTATATTAACTATTAATTGCCAGATCTGTTCTTGTACTCATGTCTATATGAATTAAATAAAACCTCCGGTTCTAAATTTTTTTAATGTTTTATTTATTTCTGAAAGAGAGAGAGAGACAGCATGAGCAGGGGAGGGTCAGAGAAAGAGAGGGAGACACAGAATTGGAAACAGGCTCCAGGCTCCAAACTGTCAGCACAGAGCCCAACGCAGAGCTCGAACCCACGAACCATGAGATCATGACCTGAACCAAAGTCAGACACTCAACAGACTGAGCCACCCAGGTGCCCCTAAAATCTCCTGTTCTAAACTCTTCTAAAATGCAGACTGTATTAATTTCCTATTGCTTTTGTGACAAATTTTCACAAGTGGTTTAAAATAGCACAAATTTGTTCTCTTACAGTTCTGGAAGGCAGAGCCCAGAACCAGTTTCACTGGGCTAAAATCAAGATGTCAGGAGAGCTGCATTCCTTCTGAAAGCTTTAGGGGAGAATCCGCTTTTTTGCCTTTTCAAACTTCTGTAGGCTACGTGCACTCCTAGGCACATGACCTTTCCTCCTATTACTCCAGCTTCTCACTTCCATTGTCACTTCTCTACTTCTCTTCTGTAGTCAAATTTCCCTCTGCCTCTCTCTCATGATTACACTTAGGGCCCATATGGATAATCTCAGAAATTATTCTTACCTCAAGATCCTTAACTTTATCACATGCACAAAGTCCCTTTTTATAAGTAAGGTAACATTCACTGGTTCCAGGGATTGGAATATAATTTATTATTATTCAGCCAATTGCACTGCCTACCCTACATCTATGACTATTTACTGGAGAAATAACAGGGCTTGCTGGCACGCTGACTAATTTGGATGGGAGGACATGGAGTAGGCATCATGTAGGTTTGCCATTTATTTCTGAAATAATGTGCTACAGGCAATTTGCTAACAATCTTCCTCTCTACTAAAAGGACCAAGGCTCTTGAGAGGGACTGGAAAATTAAAAACAAAAACACTGAAGTTATCACTTGGTGCATTTGAAGAATTAGGATCCTTCTGCTCAGTCCCATCTCATACCTCTGGTCATTTCCCTCTTTCCCTCTCTCTAGCATCTGCTTCAAATCTTCACCCCCTCTTCCAAATTCCAGTTTCCTGTCTTCATCTTGCCTGTCAATAATGACATTATTTTCTATATTACAGAGAAAATAGAGGCTCTCAAGACCTTTACTTCTCCCCATCTCTCCCAATCCTCAAACTTCTATTAGCTTTCAGTTCAAATAGTATCCAACACCCCAAAAATGCTATCCTACCCCATACCTCAAAATCTTCAATGTTTGTTCCAATACTTTATACCTGAGTTTATTATATTTGTCACATTGCAACAATTACTTTTTCAAATCTGTTCCCTTTGCTAGACTAGGATCTCTTTCATATCTTATCGTAGATACATTTAAATGACTATTGGATTGTTGTCTTCCAAGAGGTGATCATACTATCTGTTTGAACATATTCAGTGATAGAAACTTACCATATAGATTACATTTTAGGATAGCTCTTACTAAAGAACCATAGTTTTCATTTTTACTCTGGGTAATATTCTGCTGATTTTTCTATTCTTTACCCCCACTATTTTGAAGACCAGATTTTCCTATCAGCAAATATGTAGCCAAATAAGAAAGAACCCTCACAAAGCTACCAGCTTGGGATAATTGAATCCAGCAATTCCCAAAAAGGAAATTTATTCATTGTTACAAGATATTTTAAATTTGTAATAAGAGACTTTAAACATTATATCCACTCTACAAACTAATGCAAAATTTGAGATTTCTTTAAATTAAACGTATTACATATTGGTGAAAATATTTAGCACTGATTTAAAAGGCCGTATTTATCTTAAAAAATAGTACTCAGACAAGAATTAGATATCATCAGAAACATTTTTTTCATAAAACTTAAAGCTGGTTAAGACATGATATTTTATTTGTATCAGTGTGAAATTTTAAAAATTACCTTCACATACAGGAGATTCTGGGTACCAACCAAAGTTATAGCACTGAATTAAATCAGATCCACTTAGATAATAATTTTCATGACAGAAAAACTGAACTACATCTCCTTCTTCATAAGTTTGCTTTGTAGGATGAAAATAACCATTTTCTATTAATCTTAAAGAAGAGCACTTTAATCCTAAAAATGAAAGAACAAATAAAACACAAAAAAAGTTATTTTTGCTGTTGAACAAAATTCATCTGCTATTTATATACCATATCTGGAATAGAAATTAGTAAATTTATTGTATTTTGTTATACATATAAAAGCTCAATTCCTATATTTATGAAATATCATTAGGCTTACATTAATGTAATTATCTGAGCTAAAAGAAGTCTGCTATTTGAAAGCTTTATATTTTCATTTTTTAATTTTTTTTATTATATATTTTTTTCCTTGTGTGGAGGGCTCACTTTCAATAGATTTCAGCGAGGGAGCTGCTCTGCTACTTGTGAAACCCTGCTGCTATCTGAGAGCTTTAACTGATCAAAGCCTATGATCAATGTAATTAAAACCAGAGGCAAGAAAAAAAAAAGTATGAAAAATGAAACATAATTCATGTAACAATTTATACACACTTCCATGTAAGAGTTTTTTAAAATTATTTTTATAGTTTATTTATTTTTGAGACAGAGAGAGACAGAGCATGAGTGGGGGAGGGGCAGAGAGAGGGAGACACAGAATCTGAAGCAGGTTCCAGGCTCTGAGCTGTCTGCACAGAACCTGATGCGGGGCTCAAACTCACAAACTGCGAGATCATGACCTGAGCCGAAGTCAGAGGCTTAACCGACTGAGCCACCCAGGCGCGCCAAGAGAAGATTTTTAAATGAGACCAGAACATCTTGAAAATGAGAACCTACTGGTACATTTTGGTGTGAGAGACCATCCATAAGTGCGGCATTCGACTTCCTCTGCCTTCTTTCCTCCAGCTGTATAGTAGCCGGTAGAACATTCGTAGTGTAGTCTGTCCTTCACTTGGAATGTTTTCTGTGTTGTGGAGTAATTTCCATGATGTAATTCAGGAACCAAACATGCTTCTTAAAAAAAAAAAAACCAACACTATTTATTTTGTGAATTTTGTCACTAAAGCGATTATATTAAAAAGAAATCTCAAAATGTATTTTCACAGAATCTTAAGCCTATTTGGCAGAATCAATCTTTTGCAAAATTGAAAAATAGCCAGTTTACCTTTGGCTCTCTATTCCCTTTTTTTAAAGATACACTTTGTGTCTTAATGCACCAGTCTTCTATTCTTTTTTCTTAAAAAAATATTTATTTATTTTGAGAAAGAAAGAGAGATTTGCACAAGCACAGGAGGGGCAGAGAGAGAGAGAGAATCCTCAGCATGCTCTGTGCCACCAGCACAGAGCCCCATGTGGGACTCGATCTCACAAACCCTGAGATCATGACCTGAGCCAAAACCAAGAGCTGGATGTTTAACCAAAGGAGCCACCCTGGCGCCCCCTCTATTCTTAAAATTCTAGTCTAGTGTAGTTGAAAAAAGGCCACAATTCAACTAAAGGCTTGTTCACTAACAGTGTTTTGATTGTGTGTCATCTGAGAACTCACACAGTTTAAGCACCTAACACACTAACAAAGAATGTCTATTCAAATTACTGGATTTTAAGCATATCTGATATTGGTTTATCAATAAAAATCATGGGCATTATCTTCAATTCTTCTTTAATAAAAGAAATAGTAATTTATATATGTTGTAAGAAACAGGTTTAAGGTTTTTTCATTTTATTCCATTTCATTCTTTTCTTTATTAGTATAAAGTAGGAACTACTTCCACCTTTTGACTAGAGTGAAAAACTGCTGCTGAGAACATTGGTGTACAGTGTCTGAGTCCCTGCTTTCAGTTCCTTTGAGTACATACCTAGAAGTGAAATTACTGGAGCATATAGTAATTCCATGTTTAACTTTTAGAGGAATTGTCACCAACCCATGTGTCCAAACAAACAAAATGTGACATATATACTCATACAACATAATTCTATTTAGTCATAAAAAGAAATTAAATTCTGATACATGCTAAGTGAAATAAGCCAGACACAAAAAGACAGTATTGCATAATTCCTCTTATATAAAGTTTCTAAAATAAGGAAATAGAGAAATAAAAAAGAAGTTACCAGGTATTGAGGTATGGTGGGGGGGTTTGGGGGACTATTAATAGGTACAGAGTTTCTGTTTGGTTTGATGAAGAAGTTTTGGAAATAGTGATGGCTATTGGTTATTGTGATGGTTATTACAACATTGTGAATGTACTTAATTACTGAATTGTACACTTAAAAACAGTTAAATTGGTAAATTTCATGTTATGTGTGTGTGTTGCCACAATAAAAAAAAAATCAGGGTTGCCAATTGTTTGGGAGAAGGAAAAATGGATGAATAGGTAGAAGGGGATTCTTGGGGCACTGAAAGTTTTCTGTATGACATCTTACTGGTGGATACATGTGATTATACATGGGACGAAACCTATAGCATGTCTAACACAAAGAATGAACCCTAATGTAAAGTATGAATTGGGTTAATAATAATGTATTAGTATTGGCTCATCGAATGCAACAGATATGCTTCACTAAATGCTATGTGTTAATAATAGGGTAAACTGTATGTAGCCAAGGGCGGGAAGGGGTATATGGGAACTCTCTGTTCTAGCTGATCAATATTTCTGCAAATCTAAAACTGCTTTAAAAATAAAGTCTATTAATATTAAAACAAATGAAGTAGGAGCGACTGCAGTAGTTGTGTTGTGGGAGTTGAGAACCCCTGGGTTAGGGAAACACCTAGCATTTAAGAAAACCAATATAATATCAATTTCTTGCATTTGCAGACATAATGAAAAATAAATTCTATTAAATAAAAATGCCTATCAATATAAGAAAGTACTAGCCTCACAGTCCCTTATCTTCAGTTTTAGGAAATGATTCTTAAACACATACCGTGTTCCTTTCTGCAGGTAGGTTGAGAAGACCATCCATCACCAAGACATTGAATCACTTCTTCATCATTCCCTCCAGTAGTTTTATAGCCTGAATTACAACTATAACGCATGTTCTCTTGAATTTTGTACCATAATTTTACATCAGAGATGTAACCATTTCTCAGCTCGGGCTTAGTGCATTTTTCTACCGGGAAAAACAATTGTTTAACTTGGTGAAATTAAGCTTGTCTTTTACTTAGTTGTAAAAATAAGGCAAAAGTTTAATATTATTCTTGGAATTTATTTATTATTATTATTATTATTTAAGGTTTATTTATTTTTGAGAGAGAGATAGACAGAGCGTGATCAGGGGAGGGGCAGAGAGAGAGAGGTAAACACAGTATCCAAAGCAGGCTCTAGGCTCTGAGCTGTAAGCACAGAGCCCAACACGAGGCTCGATATCAGGAACAGTGAGATACGATCTGTGTTAAACTGACTGACCCACTCAGATGCCCCTATTATTCTTGGAATTTGAAGGATGGAGAACAAATTCCACTCCAAAATTCCTTGATTTGATTTAATTTTGGAAATATCCTGCATGCTCTGTTACAAATTTCTTCAAAAATTGATTCAACTTGACACTGACATTCTTTGCATTTATTAACTTCAGTCCTACACCTAACACATCTACTTTTAGAAAATATAACAGAGCTCTTCCACTAACTAACTGTCATTAATGGCAAATAGAAGGAATTTCAGTTGAATTTACTTCCTAATATTTTAAAGTCCACTGTGTTTGACACTTTTTAACACTGTGTAAGAAAAACACATACCTACTTTCTAAGTGAAACAGATTCGTCTAAAACCTCTATTCTGCAAAACAGAGGTTAGGAATTCTTTGTTTGAGGTCACCTGATCTGATGGAAGCCAGTTAATAGTTTGACTATAGGGTAGCCTGGTATTAAATAATGATATAAATCCATCAGAATTCTTTTTCCTAAATTTGAACTCAAAATTGAGAAACACATTTTTTAGTGGATATTATGGGAGAAGTTGGCACACAAAGGAGAGATGAGTCTTTCAAAGGATAAAACCCTACAGTAACAATCTTCTTCCTCCTAAGGCCAGTGTCAAGCACTTTTCTGGCTTCCTATACACATTATCTGTATAAGTTTCTCATTCCTTAAAGTTACTTATTTGTCTCTGTTTCATGCAATATGATAATACCAATTTCAATAATTGTCTTTGTTCTCTTCACAGGCTATTACTGAAAACAATGACAATAGTATTTTAATAAGAAACATTATTTATAGAATTTCCAAATATGCCTTCATTTTGTAAAGGAGACAGTGAACCAGTAATTTTGTTCTTAATCTGCCAAGAGTTTTCACCACCCGCCAGGTTTTATTGACCCTTACAGAATAATCTCTTTGCATATTATAAATATTTTGTGGATACAGGCCACCAACTCACTGAAGCATCGTGGTTCTGGAGACCAGCCCTTTTGGGTACATGTGATTCGCTCCTCTTGTTTCCCAGTTTCAGTTGTATAACCAGCCAAGCAGGAAAATGACAATTTTTCATTTATTCTCATTGGAAAGTAATAACTTCTAAAAGGATAGTAATATTGGGCAATCCTTCCATTTTCCACACTGGGAAAACCACAGGGTTTCTCTGAAATGAGTAAATATCAAGACAAAAACTGAAAAACATACCTAAAACTATGAAACGTGTTACCAAATGGTAATACATTTTTTTTTTTTTTTAGAGGGAGGACAGAGGAAGAGAGAGAATCCTAAACAGGCTCCACACTCAGGTGCGGGGCTCCATCCCACCACGAGATCATGACCTGAACCAAAATCAAGAGTCAGATGCTTAACCGACTGAGTCACACAGGCACCCCAACATTTCTAAATTCAAAATGTTTGCAGCCACTTTAACTAGTACTTATATTTATTACCTAAAATTTTAAGGGACTTTTGTGACAATTTTTTTCAATCAGAATTAATCTGCTTGTCACCCCAATACCCAACAGTAAGAAGAAAATTGGTCAGGCCACTTCCTCAGGGAAGCTTTCCCTAACTTTGTAAAACAGCACTTTGTAATAAAATGCAAGCCACATATGTATTTTAAAAATTTCTAGTAGTCACATTAATAAATGGGACAATTGAAGTTAATTTTTATAATAGATCCTATTTGACCCATTAAAACATTAAAATTATTTTTCATTCCTTTTTCTCTTACTAAGTCTGAACTCCAATGTATATTTATACTTACAGCACATCCCAATTTGGACTAACCAAATTGTTACTGTATTTGGCTAGTAGCCACATATTGGACAGTAGAGTTCTAGAACAGATGAATTTATGTTTATGACATTCAAACTTATAGAAATTTGAAGTGAATGGCTTTTCTTTTTCAGAAAGAAAAAAGACAACCAGTGAAAAAATAAATAAAAAACTTGAGCAAGAGATTTACAAAATAGGATATGTAAATGGTTACAGACCTAGTAAAAAGTACTCAGCTATCTTTGGCAATATTAAAGCAGAATATGTACATACCATATTTAAAAAGCATTTATCTCTTATGAACATTGATACAAAAATTCTTAGCAGAATAGTAGCAAACAGATTCAGTAACATATTAAAAGGACCCTTGAGCAACTAGGCTCTATTCCTGGAATGGAAGAATCGGTCAACATACAAAAATCAATCAGTGTAACACACCGCAAAATGTAAGAAGGAAATATCATATTTATCTGTGCACCCAAAGACATGTTAAAGAATATTTACAGCATCATTATTCATGTAGCCTCAAAGTGGAAACAATCCAAATGCCCATTCGTGGCAGAAAAGTTAAACATATTTTAGATTATGCATTCAATGAAATGGTATATAGCAACACAAGTGGTGAATTCTGAGTGGTGACTCTCACAAACATATTATTGAGTGAAAGAAACCTGTCACACATAGGTAAATATTATATGTACTTACATAATATTTTTATTGAGATATAATTGGCATACAAATTAGTTTTTGGCATACACTATAATCCATCACCACACAGGTACAAATTCTTTTCCTTGTGATGAGCACTTTTAAGATCTACTCTCTTAGCAACTTTCAAAAATAAAATACAATATTATTAACACATATGTGAATGTATATGGGCCAGAGAGAAATAATAACAAAGAAATAAGGTGATTATATGACAGCATTCATTTGAGTTATTTGTAGTTAGAAGGAAATTAGAGGTAACTGTGTGTCCATTACTAGGAAGATGGATAAGTAAAATATATGAAACACTATGCAGCAGTAGCAACAAAATAGGTTGAGCAACATGGAAATGTTTAAATGATAGCAAGTAAAACAAGACAGTAAGGAGATAAAATCTATGGCAAACTTTTATATGAGTATTAAGCACAAACACAAAACCATACATAGTTCAGAAAGATGGTTACATACTTAAGAATATACCAAACACATTACAGTGGCTCCCAGTTTGATGCTAGGGGAAATGGAGTTCAGGGTCAGGGATAAAGGGAGGAAATGTATAAATAGAGCAAAAGTGGCACCTCTCATGGGCCAATGATGATTACATGCTATGAAATGAGAAGTACCATTAACTCAGTTATTACCCCTAAGGTTTCCAATGCGGGTGACCATGAGATTATGGTTCCTGTCTTCAGGCAGCTTTTTTGTTTGTTTGTTTGTTTTTTTGTTTCAGTGAAAGAAGATTATGACCATATAATAATTAGGAAATTTTCTAGAATATGCAAAGTCTTCATGATATGCAAAACAGAGAATTATATAAGCTGGTTTTTCTCTATTTAGACAGAAAAATAAAACCAAAGGAAATAATTCTTACAACAATTCTTTTATTGTAGAATTGAATATATCAAATAAGATGAATTCTATTTATTTCACTTGTATTGTTTGAATAGCAGACCTTTTGGGGTAGAAAATTTGTAGCAAACTATTCACCTAAAAGGCAATTATAATCTATAGGATATTTTATTTCAACAAATTCCCTAAGGTGTTTATTTTAGAAAAGCCTTATTGCTGTACTTTCCTATTTTGTATATTCACTCTGCTGACACCTAATGACCTGCCTGGTGTTTTATCCCTACAGCTTAATAACACTATTAACTATTCCTAAATAACCCACACTTGTACACTACCTGCCTCACTCTCGCTAATTCACACACTGGGCAGTCTGGCTATGAAGACTTCTAAGAGTTAGGGAGTCCACAGATATTGGCTTGTCTGGACAGTGCTGATTTACACCCATTGTCTCACATAATTATTAATAGAGATCCCTTTCACTCTCAAAATTATCATTGTCTGCATAATCAGTTACATGGTCTTCCTTCTAATCACTACTTAAAGATTTAAACCAATAAATAAATTAGGATAAAAATCAAAGGGTGAGGAGTCAAAAGTCTTGATGATTTATGGCTATTTTTTCTTTTCAAATCTCCCACACTAAGGTCTCACTTTATGAATAGAGAATTAAATTTGTACAAGCTTTGCAGTGCTAGGAATCAATTCTATTATGAAGTTAGAATTAAGATTAACATACGACTTCTAAATGGTGATACTGTTAGCCTGAAAGTCCCTTGAGGACCTCCTATGCCTTAAAACCTAGCGCTACAGAACAGGATTCTTTTGGTCTTGTTTTGTTTTCCTAAGGTTTGTTACTATAAAAATACTTGCTAGTTATGCCCAAAGGAAAAATAAATCTGCCTAAATATTCCAACAAATTATATTTATAAGAATTGTGCTTTTATGAAATTGATACATGAAAATGAAAGACTATATTAAAACTTCAAGTTAAATGAATGTTAGAATTTCCCTTTATAATTTTTAGAGAATAAAGAATATTAAAAATTAAATTTACCTTCTGCATAGAGTTCTCCTGAGATGATTAATACAATCATGAAAGCCAAGTCTTTCGACCTCATCTTCAGTGGTGTGCCCAGTAAAGATTTTAACAATTCTAATGCACTAGGGAGTCCTCATTAAGTACACAATCCTTTGCCTGAAGAAAAAGTTAATTATTTACAACATCTGTCTAAGTCTCTTTGTAACAAGACTTATATTTCATTTAAATATTTTTGGAATAATGCTAAAATAACACAACTATGTTAACTGACAATACTTTTTATGACAGAGTCCAAAAAGGACATGATAACCCAGAAGGGCAACAATAGCAGCAGCATAAATAATTAACTCCGACTGCACAAAAAACAAGGTAAATTTTCAACTTCAATTCCCTATTGTAGGTCCATGGAGTAAAGTTCACCTGTGGCCATTGATTTCTTTACCACCATTGATCAAATGGAGAGATGAACTTGGAAACATGAGATAATGGTACCTGAGGTAAAAATACAGTGTTGTCTAGGTTGTGCTGCTGGAAGAGAAAAATGACCTTCGTGTCTCAAGCAACGATATAATAATATTATAGTTATATCTAACGTTTAGAGTGTTTGTATTCTGTGGCAGGTGATGGAATGATCACTGTGCTCGTCATTGATTAAAAAATGTTTGGTGTGACTACTGTGTATCAAGTCATGTTCTAATCTTGGGTATATAGCAGTGGAAAAAAAAAGATTAAAATTACTGTCTTCATGGAGTTTACATTTTAATGGGTTTTAATCTAAACAATAAAATAATACAGTGAGATAAGAGCTGTTAATATTTTAATTTATGTAACTTTTTATTAAAATATATTAAGGGAAAGGTACAAAAACCGTAAGAGCACAGAACATGAATTCTTACCAACTGAACCCATTTCAAAATAAGAAAAAGAATGTATCAGCACCTCAGAAGTCACTGCATATGCCCACCCCGATGTGAAATGCTATTTTCTTTTAGAAATCACATATTTTATTGATTGATTGATTGATTTAATATAATTTATTGCCAAATTGGCTAACATACAGTGTGTACAGTGTGCTCTTGGTTTTGGGGGTAGATACCTGTGATTCATTGCTTACATACAATACCCAGTGCGCATCCCAACAAGTGTCCTCCTCAATGCCCATCACCCACTTTCCCCTCTCCCCCACCCTCCCATCCACCCTCAGTTTGTTCTCTGTATTTAAGAGTCTCTTGTGGTTTGCCTCACTCCCTCTCTGTTTGTAACTATTTTGAAATACTGTTTTGATTTTTACCAGTGTACATCAGTTTTGCCTGTTTTTTTTTTTCTCTTTTATGTCTGGCTTCTTTTGTTTAATATTTTACTTATGAGATTCATCTCTATCTTGGGCTATAGTAGATAGTTCCTTCTCTTTTTAGTATTCTGTTCTGTTAAAATGCCACAAATGATCTATCCATTCTACTGCTCATGGGCATTTGAGTGACTTTTAGTTTAGGGATATACCTCTGCTTATTCTCAATTTTTTTTTTTTTTTCTAATTTGAAATTTTTCAAACATTCTCACCTGGATTCTACCATTAACATTGTATTATACTTTCAAATTTACATATGTATTCGCCTATTCATCCATTTTGATGCATTTCAAAGTAAATTGCAGATATCTGTTCATGTCCCTCTCCTTAAGCAAATATATCATTAACTCAAGTTCAGTATTTTTTTACAGATTTTTCTTTTCAAATGAAATTTATAAAGAAATGTGCAACTGTTAAAGGTAACCTCTGTATGTCTTAAACGGTGCATTCACATATACACCTCAGACCACTGTCAATTACCATCACCCAAAAAGTTCCCTCAGACTCTTTTCCAGGTAGTCCTCACCTCCACTCCTGTTATAGGTAACCAGTGTTCTGATCTTTCCACCGGTCCTATTACTTGTCTGTTCTGTTCCATATCTATGGAAAATACAAGGACTCTTATTTTTGTAAAGCTTCTTTCATTTTTAAAGCATAATGTTTTGGACTTATTCATGTGGTCGTGGGTACTAGCACTTGATCTTTATTTATGGTGAGTCATAAAATTTTATGAAATTGAGATTTCATAAAAGAACACACTGAAGCTTAGGGAGTATTGCAATTGGTTTGTCAAAGACCACAAAGCTAGTGAGTGTTAGATCCAGGCTCCAAAGTTCGTTTTTAGAAAGTAAACTATATATTGAGATTTCAAAATTAAGTATCTTAATTGTAATCAATTAAAAGTTGCCAGCATCTACTAATTTCAGTAAATATAGCAGTGTACTGCATCTAAACATTAAACTAAATGAGAGAGTACATTTAATGTTTGAAAAGTTAAAAGTCTGGAAGGATCTCTTTTATTCCAAGTAAGAACAAACCAAAAAACATAATTTTAAAGTGCCTATTGTTTGAAATTATATATTTACCTAGGGTTAACTTCAAAGGGTACAGACTGAAAAGTCTCCATCCCATACTTGTCCCTCAGCTACCCACTTTTCTGTAGAAGGTAAATAATGCCCTCAATACCATTTGCATTTTTCTGGAGTTATCATCTGTGTATACTAGCAAATATATACCTTCTAGCTCATTACTTTTTCATTTAGGTTATGAAGGTTACCAAAGGCTCCTTTGGTTAATGTTTTTTAATGTTTATGTATTTATGTTGAGAGAGGAAGAGAGAGAATGGGGAAAGGGCAGAGAGAGAGGGAAGGAGAGAATCCCAAGCAGGCTCCATACTTTCAGAGAAGAACCTGATGCAGGTCTTGATCTCTTGACCTGTGAGATCATGACTGTGCTGAAATCAAGAACTGGAAGCTTAACCAACTGAGCCACCTAGGTGCCTTTCTTTGTTTAATTTTTAATCAATAAATATACAGTAAATATTCAGGAACAGTGTTATATAAGTATACAAACTCATGTTTTCCCAGATAGTTGCTATGTTATCCAATTATTTATCAAATAATTCATGTATTTTGCCACTGATCTGAATTTCCACCTTCTCATATGCTAAATAATCTTATGTTTCAGCATTTAAACTAGCCATGTTTTTTAGTCCTATCCTGTAAGCTACCCTAGCTATAGAATATATGTGAACATTTAATAATTAATGTAGTCCTCACACTTAAGTTTCCCTTTTCAGAAATTTCCTGCCTGTCTAGTTTTGCTTGTTTACTTACTGTTGATGTACTACAGGTTTGGAGTGAAGACTTTGGAGTCACTCAGATTTGATTTATAATCTCAATATCCAGATTGTGACTTTGGAAAATGAGAACTCTTTTGCCCCTAAATTTCTAAAATAATAGTAAAAACAGTAGCTATCTCAAGCATGTTATGGAAATTCTGCTGCAGGTAATTTAGTACTTCACCATTTGCTAATCCTAAGAAAGTTGCATTAAACATTGTTTTAGAAACAAAATCCTGGGGTGCCTGAATGGCTTGGCCAGTTAAGCATCTGACTTTGGCTCAGGTCATAATCTCATGTTTGTGGGTTTGAGCCTTACTTTGGGCTCTGTGCTGACAGCTTGGAGCCTGGAGCCTGTTTTGGATTCTGTGTCTCCCTCTCTCTCTGCCCCTCATCTTTCATGCTCTGTCTCTCCCTCTCAAAAATAAACATTAAAAAAAATTAAAAAGAAACAAAATCCTAAGCCAAATTTCATAAATACAGTCCAGTGAAGAAAATCCCAATTCAGAGTAGTAATGCATCTAGTGGAAATATTAAAAGATACTAAAAGATAAAATTATAACTGTGTCATTCTAATTCTCTTTCCTTCTTTCTTCCTTCATTATCTCTCAACCTTATCTGTCAATAATAGAAGTCTAAAATCTCTTTCCTTTCTATAGGTTTTGAATGGCCAGCTGTAACAACAGTTCCTTTTTAATTATATAACTGAGTATATTCTATGGGCTATATACTTGCTTGACAAAATATCGTTTCCACCCAACATCTTTCCAAAGTTGGCATTTTAGAGATAAACAATGAAGAGTTTGGCTAACTTCTCTTATTTGTATCTCCTGTAAAGTTTGCTTACTACATGCCAAAGTACATTTCCAAAACTTTAGGACGCCACGACTCTTGTACCAACCTAGATTTTACCCGGTAGATGCATGCTCAGAAAAGAAATAGAACCACACGTACGTTGGTTTTACTATTTTGCCCGGTTTGAACAATCCTGGAGGCACAGGCTTTACCAAACTGCTGCAGCAGAACCCAAGACTCTTGTTTCTGGCTTCATAATGTCAAGGGACTGGTTTTGGAATATTTACTGTTGATATAGCAATGCCAGTGAATATGGTATGGTCCTGACCTCAGCATCATGCAGGTGTCTTCCTGATTCAATTTCAAGATCATGGTCAGCACATGCCCAAGCCCGTTTTGTCGTGCTACCAGGAGTACTAGGAGCATATAGATATGTGGGACATCGTCAAAAAATCTATCATACTTCTAATTGGAGCTTCGGTATAAAACTGATAGAGATTAAAAGAAGGGGGAAATCTCATTAAGAGAGAAAAAAAAAACCCACATTACTTCCAAACAAGCAATAATAGGACTGTTGAAATGAAATGGAAAAACAAGCAGAAAGTGGAATAACGAAAATAACTGCCATAAATGAAAATAACTGTCAACCTAGAATGCTATAACTACTAAAAATATTTTTAAAAATAAAAGTATTCAAATAAATTAAAATGTAAAGAGTAAGTCAATAGTAGAACTCTACCAAAAGAGCTGATAAATGGAGTGCTGTAGACGAAAGGAAAATGAAACATGAATTAAAATGCATGGCATCATTAATGCAAAGCCAGGAGTGAAGAAACAAACTCAAGGTGTGCTATATGTTTTTAGGACTTTCAAGGAAGTTGTAGAAGTAATATGCCTGCTTAATTATCATTAGTCAAGGTTCAGTATTAAAATCTCTAGGTTTGGGGTACCTGGGTGGCTCAGTTGGTTAAGGGTCCAACTTCAGGTCATGATCTGGCGATTTGGGAGTTCAAGTCTTATGTCAGGCTCTCTGCTGAAAGCTCAGAGCCAGGAACCTACTTTGGATTCTGTGTCTCCCACTCTCTCTGCTCCTCCC